AAATAAATCCCTGGCCTATCAGGGTTTATAATGAAAAAAATATATTTCTTTATTTATATCCTACACTTTTTTTATATAAATAACTCAAGGCGGTAAGCATACTTAACACCTCTTCCTTCTCCTATTTTCCCCACAACAGCAACCCTGCAAAGTGAGTGAACTGACAGAGAGAGATTGGCCCAAAGTCACCCAACAAGCTTTCATGTCTAAGGCAGGACTAAAACTCAGAATCTCCCAGTTTACAGCCTGGTGCCTTAACCACTAGACCAGGGGTCTTCAAACTTGGCCCTTTTATGACTTGTGGACTTCAACTCCCAGAATTCCTCAGCCAGCATGCCTGGCTGAGGAATTCTGGGAGTTGAAGTCCACAAGTCATAAAAGGGCCATAGTTCCCCTATGCTGGCTGAGGAATTCTGGGAGTTGAAGTCCACAAGTCATAAAAGGGCCGAGTTTGAAGACCCCTGCACTAGACCATATGCTGCAAGAAGTCTTTTATTTATTTCATATCATTCAGTTTTTATCCAGCCCCATTTCTAGGGGGAACTAGGTAACAAATAAATATGCAAAATAAAATGTTGATTACATTCACAGCCTTCATTGGCCTTGTAAGTAAACCAATGGATCTTTTTTAAATCCTTTGACTTAAGTGCACTGCTTCATTACTATGCATTACTTCGGAAAAGTGCTTCAGAGTGCATTGGGCGCAAATGCCACATTTGTACATAACTCTCTACAATTCTGCTCGCACGTGTGCATGTCTGTGTGAGTGTGAGCATGCAGTATAAATTTTCAAAGCACGTTGTTCTTTTTTTATTATTTAAAAGCTGTTTAAATAGCTTTTAGGACCCAAGTGCATAGTTATCACTGACAACGTGTTTCTTTCAGTGATGCAAAAATGTAGCTTGAACAGAAGGATGGATCCTTTTCATTTGATATTAATTCAAGGCTCAGACAGGAAATTACACAAGTCTGTCCTCATCCCAAGGATGCATATGCTCACAGGTTTTTAATCCAATAATGGCAGATGTGGGTCTGATATCTGAGTAAGAACTGTAATGTGAGAATGTGGCAGACCCCAAATTACTTCTATAATAGGTTCTCACATCCCTCTATCTTTCCTTGCCCTGTATCTTCTTGTTTTATTTTTTTTCATAGATAAGATAGATAAGATAATCTTTATATTATTACTACTACTACTACTATTATTATTATTATTATTATTATTATTATTATTATTATTATTATTATTATTATCTTTATTCAGCCAGAGTTTCATTCCATACAGCATTAACCTTGCGAACTCTCAAGCTTTCTCCTTCCGTTATATATTCAAGATGGACAATATTTAATATTTAATATTTATTTAATATTTATTTGCTACGTATAGGTAGGGATGTGGGTCTATACATATGTTGTTCATAGTATGTTTAGGTGTGTGTCATGTATGTGTTTCACTCTGAGAGCGGGCAACTAAATTTTGTTTTTGATGTGTGCTATTGTGCCCACAGTATAAAAATGACAATAAAGGTTATCTTATCTTATCTTATCTTATTGTCATTTTTTTTACATTTTTTACTGTAGATACACCTTAAGTACATCACAATCTTAATTTTTGCAGTAACTGTTCTGTCTTGACAGTAGGTGTCTTTGGGATGGGGAAGTGACAAAATATATGTTGTAAAGCAAGCTTTTCCTCTTAGGTATTTGTGCATGTGACATCACAAGGATGGGTTTGTATGATGGCATCATGGCCACATTCTGGTTGCCAGAATCTTATAGCAACTTTCTAACACCCTTCCTAGTTGGATTTACTTACGCTTAGCTAATTTCATTTTATTCATTTAAGACATTCTATCCTGCTCTATGGAGTAGAGAGTTGGTCTCTGACAGAAGGCCACCTGAAGAGACTAGAAGCATTTGAAATGTGGATTTACAGGCGGCTGTTACGTATAAACTGGGTTGGCAAGATCAGAAATGAGGAGGTGATAAGCCGCCTGGGAAAGCCAAGGGAAATCATCAAAACAATTAAAAAACAAAAATTAGAATATTTCGGACATGTGATGCGACACCCAGAAAAATACGGCATACTCCATTTAATCCTCCAGGGAAAGATGGAAGGCAAATGAGGTCCAGGCAGAAGAAGAAGAACATCGTGGCTTCAAAATCTAAGGACTGGTTTGGACAAAACTCAGCAGCACTTTTTCGTGCGGCTGCTGATAAAAACAGGATCGCCAACATGATCGCCAATGTCCGATAACGGATATGGCACAAGAAGAAGAAGACATTTCAGGCATTTATTTATTTAAGACTTTTCTGATTAATCCCTCCTCTGGAAAACATTACAAACCTGAAGACATACCAATATATTTATACTAGACAAACTACATAATCTGATGCAACAAAGCCAATCCAGTGCCCTTTTCCCCTTCACTGTCACTTTGAGAATAGCGTGCCGTTAAAATGAATGAATTGTAAAAGTCTCCCCTTAAAACCTAACCTCGACTGGGCAGCAAATATGTAATAAAGCAATTCCATTTGTCCTGCTGACAGAAATACTTGACTTTTCCTCTCCTTAAATTGTTTCTATTTCTGCCAATGATTGCCAGAATTACTGCTTAACTTCATTTCTTTTAGTCAATGAAGATTCTCAATCACCCAGGTACAATTGTCTGTAAGTTGAGTCATAGCGTCAGGACTTATTTTGTTGTTGGCTTGAGATGTTTTGCTGCCGATCCAAAATAAGTCCAGGCTAACCATGCAGCCAGAACCGCATCCATTTGTTATGTGCAATGTCCATAAAAATGGGTAGGGCTTCAATCATGCAATTTTTTCCCCCTCCGTGGCCATCCCAGTCATGCCTTATTATGCAAGCTAAGGCATAATGTCTTGTTTTTATTGATGGAATAAAAGCTATTCTATAGATTTTTAACAACAAAGCCAGCTAGAATATGCTGCATGTAAGCAATAGTTTAGTACCCAAAACAAGAGTATGCCTGAATCAATCAACTAAATTGACTAGTTAATTAATTAATTAATTTAAAAAAATAATAATAATTATTATTATTATTACTTTAATTTATATCCCGCCCTTCTCCCGAAGGACTCAGGGTGGCTTACAGGCAATAAAAATGGAACTATACAATAAATATCTAAAAACAATTAAAATATATATTAAATAAGCCTGTTATTTTTAGAAAAGTTATAAAATCCCTATTAAAATCCCTATACAATCCCCCCCCTAGGCCAATCCCGCTTGATGGAAAAGCCATGTCTTGAGGGCACGGCGGAAGGAGGGGAGATCCGGAATAA